TCTTGGGGCCTCTCCATCGCTCCCCAAATCCAAGTCTCCCCAAAAGACACAGGAGATAATGCATTGTCTGCCCAGCAAACAAAGGCAATGCTGAAACATCCAAATAGCCCCCAAGCCCCAGTTCACTCCCCCACCCAGCACCCCCAAATTCGGGGGGACCTGGGGCTCTCAGACTGATGATGGAGCCTGGCTATCTGACATCCTTGTGGCCTCTGCGACACACCCCACTTTGTTTTCAAGGGGCCATGAATGCCAGGGAAGCCACCAGCCCCTCCGGGATGTGGAGTCAGAGAGGGTCACAGCAGAGTGGAAACATCGAATTTGGGGAAACATGTCAATCTCTCATGCGTGCGCAGGGCTGGGTGGGAGAGATTGTTCTGTGCCTTGTGTAATTGTGTTGCTGAAAGACTACCTCGTTCTTGTCTTTTTGTGTCACTGGGGCAACTGTGTGGGGACAGGGAGGGGGCAGGGGGAGCAGCGGCGCCCCATTTGATATCAAAGGTGCTACATCGATGTGATGGGTGGGGTGGGGAAGGAATCTCTGGTGCTATAGAAGTTGAGATGCCCCCCTAGACCAGCAAACTGTTCCTTTTGTTCAAAGTCCTTTTTTTTATTCTTTGGGTTTTTTCTTTTTTTTTTTTTTGTGGTTGGGGACTCATGTGAATTTTTTTCTAACGGTGCTATTTAACATAGGGGGCCTTGGGGGGGTGCAGGTCCCACCTGCTCACTCTCCATCCTCTCTCCACCCCTCTGACTTCTGGGCCTGTCGCTCTCTGACCGCTCTCTCTTCTGAAATCCTCCCCTCCTACAGCTGTGACCCATCCTGAGCCTCTCTCCTAGTCTCTCCTGCATTGGGGTTTCAGAGCACGACTTCCCAAAGCACAAAACAGTTTTTCCCTGTGGGGTGGGAGGAAGCAAGAGACTCTGTACCTATTTTGTATGTGTATAATAATTTGAGATGTTTTTAATTATTTTGATTGCTGGAATAAAGCATGTGGAAATGACCCAACACATCTGCAGTGGCCTCCTAATTTCCTTGCTGGGAGACAAGGGAGGGGAAGCTTGGGGAGGCGGCTTTGGGGTAGGTAGACTCACCTTGTCTCCCCTGCTCTCTCTTCCCCTTCTCGTCTGGATCCTGTCGTTGTTTCTCCCCCTTCCTCTTGCCTCTCTTGAGCCTTAACCCTTTGTCTTTCCCATTTTATTCTTCTCTTGCAATCTTTCATGCATGTTTCCAAACCCTCTTCTTGCCTGCAATGCCAAACAGGCAGCCATGTGTGCAGCGACACACGCACTCATGCACATTCGCGCACACCTCTCTTTCGGTCCCAGGTTACCCAAACCTCAGGTCTACCTGCCCATCAATGAGCATCAACTGTCCGTGTTGTGGGCACCCTGCAGGATGGGGGGCTGAGGGAGGTGCTGCCCATGGGTCCTGGAAGGAGGACGGACATGGGATTGCTAAGGAGGGTCTTCTGAAGGCCTCTTCCTGGACAAACATGAATCGCCATCTGGCCCCTACCCTTCCTCTTCTCAAGAAGCAAGTAGTTCTGCATGAGAAGGAGCCTGGGAGGTGACAAGGGGAAAGGATGCTCCAGGGTCACTCTCCCTAGAGGGAGGCAATGGACCCAGCCCTCAAGAGAATCTCTTAGGGCCCTTGGAAAGTTGCAGTTAAAGTGTCTGCTGGGTGCTACCCAGAATGACAGAGACCTCAGCCCCATAGAGCCACTTGGGTCCCTCTTGGTCTTCCCATGCCCAGTACACCAGCCAGCTAGGCTTGGGGAGACCTGTGGAGGCATCCTGCCAAGCCCCTATCTCCTGTCCATTTCTTTCCTTTTCCATTTCTTATTTCCCCCAATTCTTACTTCCTCTTCCTCCTTCTTCCTGCCTTCTCTTTTCTCTCATCCTCTGCCTGTTCCTCACTGAGAACCTCAGGCCCCAGAGGAAAAGTGACTGATTGACTTCGTCATCTCAGGGAATGGTGACAGTGGTGACTGGTCGGTCAGTGGGGGGATGGAGAGCCAGAGTCAGAAGCGTGGAGCAAACTGGGTACCTGAACACAGGGAGACAGGAAGATGACAGCTGTTCCCCCTCTCATTCAAATTCTGATGGCCCAAACCACAAAAGAATGAGAGGCCTATGTTCTGTGTCCTTTGTCCCTCCCTTGGTCTACAGAGAGATAGACACATCTGCAGAGACCACACTGTGGCTGTCATTAAGTATTTCTGCTTTCTAATTATGGCCTTTAATAATTCATCATTAGCACTTCTACCACATTAGGACTGTGTAAAAAGAAATTAATAGAGAATAATAAATTATAGCATATAAATGAAGACTTACTCATATACAAATTGTCCAGCATTGTGTGGTGCCCATTCATGGACTTATCAATGCAGTGACTGCTTGGTGACATCTGCCTGCCTGATCTACTGCCCAAGACCTCTGGTCCTGGGTCTCTGAACATCTAGGCTCCATCTCTATCCACTCCTGTGGAGATCTAGAAGTAACCTGAGCTCAGCATTCAAGGTTCTACCTCATCACTGTCCACCTGTCCAGACTCACTGTCTCCTCCACATCTCTTATCTGTCATAACAGCCCCGAAGGGTAACTGCCATCCCCACATATGCACCCCACTTCCCACTTCATATACCTGATGTCCCTTCTCTCTGCCTACTCAACCCCCACCTTCCAGGCCAGGTTCAAATGTCTCATCAGCCCCCTTCCCCTGCCCAGCCCAGACTAAGCTCAGCCCACAGTTCCCAAAACTCCCAGCCCTCCACCTAGAGATGGTTACTGTGCCTTGTGGTCACGTTCCACCCTCAGGACAGAGGCCAGTGGTGCCACATAGGGCTGGAGAGACAAAAGAACAAAAAGATGAGATAAGCCACTGGGTTGGTGTGAGTGTGCATAGGTGTGGGCAAGTGTGAGAGGAAGGGTTAGTGACAACCAGCTCTGTGGGGGACCAGATGAAGGTGGCAACTCTAGGCCAATGCTTTCTGTGGTGCCAAGCAGTTCTGTATCTGTGCTGCCAGCCCTGCGCTGGCACTTGAAATGTGGCTAGTGTGACAGAGGAATGCAATTCTCACTTTTCCTATTGTAATTGATTTTAATAGCCACATTTGGTTAGTGGCAGCACAGCTCTAGGCAAGAGTGAGAATGCCTCTTGCTACATATACGCGAGTGTACCCATGGGTCCATGCACCTTGTACGTGGGCTGTGGAGGTGGCAGGCCTGTTGCAGTACCACACCATGTGGTTCTGTGTCTGTATCATGTGGTACAAGGCCAGTGTGTGGTTTCAGTGCAAGCACAGGACTGGAGGGGAGGGGGACAAAGGAGCCATTGTACCACACTCCCAACCCAAATCCTCGTTTCCACTGACATCACAGCTACCATAAATACAGCTGCCAGTCCCTGAGACCCTCACTGTCCCCTGCTCAGTGACACAGGGCTGCTTCCAGTGCTGCTCTGAGGGACTCGCCTTTGTCTTTGTGGAATTAGGTTCGTATGGCTGATTTTTCAGTCAAATAGAGACAAGAAATTTTAGAACTGGAAGAGCTTTGTTTGGATTTTTCACTCTTGCTGCTCTCTCAGAATCCTGGTCCCTTTGGGGACCTGAGCCCGTCTATCTCCTGGCAAGATTTGTTATATCCAGAATATGGTGAGTTTTCCCTCCTTTATTTTAGCCTCTTAACCCTCAGGTTTCCAGGTGTTGAGACATCCCCTAGAAAGACAGAGCTGGATGAGGAGCAAGAGCCAAGAACACTTCCAGCTGGAGCATGGGGGCCTTGGTGTGAGGGGGACAAGGGGGTTGTATGTGGAACGTGCAGGTGCGTGGGACTGTAAGCGGAACTATGTAGGCTGCTCACAAAACCACACTGGGAGGCCTGCATGATGGCCGAGGGAGTGAGGCAGGTTCCTCTGAGAGGTCCTCACATAGGTGAGGGGGCTTGGGTAGATGACAATGTACTCACTCTGTGCTCACCCACCCCAAGGTGTCTGTTTGCAGGTGCCCAACACACATATGAGCGTATGTATGTGGGAGGCAGCTTCCACACACAGGGACAGTGGAAGAGACCTGTATGAGGTGTAACAGGGCATGGTCTGTGGTGTTTGAAACACATGTGTCCATAGGCATAGGAGGATAGGAGGATCTGTTGGTGTGAATGTCAGAGATGAGCAGGGAGGTTTGTGGAAAGCTTAGGAGAGGCTGGATGTGGAAGGAGACCACCACCCAGAAATCCCCATACCAGTGGGAGCCCTGGTGCTGGAGAAAGTCTCTGTTCCTTCCTGAGTGTGAGCTCCAGAAGGTACCCAGTTGTCCTGGGGACATGTCCACACCCCAGGAGGTAAGACCATAGAAGAAGGCTAGCCTTGCTGGAAGGGCAATGGACCCTGACACACACACACACACACACACACACACACACAGACACACACACAAACACACACACACAAACACACACAAAGTTCAATATTGTGCAGAGGATGTACAAGGCCAGGTCAAGAGAGAAGTAGATTTGGTATGTGTGAGTGCTGGCCAAAGTGGGAATTCCCCTGCCTAAGATGGTGGAGAAATTGAGAAGGAGGACAGTTGAAAGAGGAGAACCGAGAAGAGAGAAAGAGGAAGAGGAAGATGGATCCATGAGGGGGACCAAAGCATGTTTTAGAGCAAGGTAGCTACATATTCAAGTTCAAGGGCAAACTCTTCCGTTTCACAGAACTTCTTAGATGCAAGCAGGAGGCCTGGGTGAGTTGGCGTGTTCTGTGGAAAGTAAGGAAAGGGGTGAGTTCTGGGTCAGTGAGACTCTGGAGTGGAGATACAGAAAGAGCCACAAAACTGGCAGTGCCCCATAAAAATAGAGTGTGAGCCATGTATACAGCTCCTCATTCTCTGACAGCCATGTAGAGGAGAGGGAAATAAAAAGTCAAAACAAATTTTAACAATGTCTTTTATTTCACCTAATATACTTCCAAATATCATTTCAGCCTTACACTTACAGCAAATCTTGATTTGGACCAGCTGCATTTCAGGTTCTTGATGGTCCCATGTGACCAGGGGCTGCCTGCTGAACATTTATGTAGCACAGCTATGCCAAAGAGCATGCGAACTTGAGCCTGCACCCTAAATTCACACAGAGAAATTGAACTGTTCCTAAGACTTCAATGGAAATGGAATCCATCTAGTCTGGATCTTGGGGGCAGGGAGACCCCATGAACCTCTCACCTTGGGGAGTTCATGCGAGTGCTTGTGTATAAGTGCTTGTGTTCCTATTCCTGGGAGAGGCTGGCATGCCCAGCCTTCACAAATTCTCACCACAACCCCAAGGCAGGGATGACTATCGCTTTATGCCAAACCAACTCTCAACTGGTTCAGGCAACCCTGATAACATAAGAACCATGATTCAAGTTTCATCTGGGCAAGTCTGCCTCTGGAACTGAGACCAGCTGGAAGTGGTGCCCTGTGTCCCCAGGTCTGACCAATTGAAGGTGGTGAGGAAGTGTCTGGAGAGTCAGGCCACACATGAGAGCTGTGTTTAGGATGAAGGTGGAAGCTATACATCAGGCCACCAGGGCAAGGCCATCAATGGGACTGGAGGGGATCAGGGTTGAATTGGGGTAGAGGTAGGGTTTCAGGACACCATAACCTTTGTCAGGGATTGTGGGGAGCAGGGAGTAACTGTTGGGGTTGTTTCCTAGGGGAATAAGTTTGTCTGTGTTCTCCCTGTATGCGGCTGGGCAGCTGGGCATTCGAGTGTGTATGACCAGGCACAGCTCTGTGTTCTCTGAAGTCACACCACCCTCCCAGCTACTTGTCTGGGCCACTTCCTCTCAGGCAGGCAGCCAGGCTCCTGTGTGCTCCTTGGAGCTGAGCAGGGAGGAAAGCACTGCCAAGGATCCAAAGCAAGGCGGAGAAGCAGAGGGAAGGAAGAAGTGGCCTTGTACTCTCCCGTCACAGGCCAGCACAGGAAGAGCCAGCAGGAGACTAAGGTTGCCTGAAGAGGGACAGAGATGAGGGCGCCAGCGGGCCCCTCCTCAAGGGGCCAGGGACCCAGGGCAGCCAGCCAGGCAGCAGGCTGACTGCTCTAGCCTCCAATCTGAGCAGTTGATGGACCCCAGGAGAAAAGAAGAAACAGTGAATGAGAAATCAGCGACACCTGTCTGTTTGTCAGCAAAAAGCCTGTTTGGTTAGGGGCTGGGCACTAAAGAGACATTTCCTTAATACCTGTCCATGTCAGCACTGTGCTTCTGCCAACTCAATATATGCTTATGGACTCAATGCATTAACTAACTAGCTAACAGCTATGAAGCACCCAGCACAGGAGAGCACCAGAAGCTAGTATAGAGCATTGCTTCGGCAATGGCCTTGCTCAGCCTTTTGCCCAGAGAGGAAAAGCAATCTGCTTAACAAACTTAGTAAACCCAGACAGACAGCAGTCAATCCTTCAGGCGTCTCTCCGGAATAGCTTTCCCCAGCACCTTACGTGTGCAGGCGCTGCGCCTTCCAACGCAGACAGAATCTTGCTTTCCACTGTGGGAAGAGGACTTGGAACGCCTGAGCCTGGACAGCAAGGAGGAGAGCAAGGAGGGCTTTGAAGTGGCATTGGAGGTCATGGGGCCAGGGAAGGCCTCTGTGAGGATGTCCTGTTAGGGCATAGACAAAACTGCAAAAAGGGGGAAGTTGTGTGGATTTGGGGAACTGTCGGCTCCCAGCAAAGGAAAAAAGGAGTGAAGAGGGTGAAGATCCCTAGTTTGGATTCTCTTGGAGATGCCATCTGGGCCACGTGTCCTCTGCTATCCCTCTTCCATAGAATCCTCTCTCAGGCTTAGTCTCCACCTGTCCCATGCAGGAGTGGTAATATGTGGACTGCATGTGACTCAGAGGGCAGTGAGCAGGGGCAAAGCCAGCCAACTTTGGTGTAATCACCTGGCAAAACAACCTCTGGCAGTGCTGAGCTCTCCGGGGCACATGGGGACAAGCCACGCTGGCGACACTCAGTTCAACAAACTCCTTAGGCAGGCAGATCCTCTGGATCTCTGCCCTGTCTTTGGAGGAGCCTCCAGGAGGTAAGCGAGTGTTTACTCAGGCCTTCTAACCTCTCTCCAGTTCTAGATTGGCTTCTCTGCCAACATGGCATACAAAGGGACTCACTCTCCAGAGGATCTCAGCAGGTAAGGTCCTGGGTCCTCTACCTTGTGAACCTCTAACTCTCCAGAAGGCAGTGTGAGGTAGGCATGTCAGGCTCCAGTCCAAGCTCTGCACCCACTTGCTCTGTACCTTGGGTAGTTGCTTACTCTCCATAGGCCTGTTTCCTTGTCTATAAAGTCGGGATGAGGATCTAGTCATCCCTCACTGTCAGGTTCATGTGAGGGCTGCATACAGCAGGCTCTTCCCTCTTCCAGAGAATTTGAGAAGATAGCAAAATGCCATGAGTCCAAGGGCAAGCTGGCAGCCCCTTCTGCAGAAGGGGAAATGGAGGCAGTGAGAACTGCATGGAGGCTGCTGAGAGGAAGGCGCTGGCAGCAATGAATAAGGAGAGCAGCAGGTATTTATTCTGGGGTCCTGACTCCAAACACCCTCATCCCTCCCGCCCCATCCCTCTGCTTGTTCAGTGTCTGAGGTCCGAATGGTTCAGGAGCCAGAACCCACTGGTGGATTGCGGCCATGGGTCAGCAGTTCTCTGGATGGAGAGGCTGGGTCTGGAACTAGAACAGAGTGGAAGGGCAGAGGGGAGAACTGAGGGGGCAGATCCTGCTGTTCCTGCCTTCCCCCACCCTGCCCCTCTGGCCCCAAGAGCTTAGCAGTGGGAGACATAACCCTAGCACTGCTGAGCACCCCTCCACACCACCACACAGCTGCCTTACAGGGCAGGGCAGGCCAGCATGCCCTTTCCTGACTTCCCCCGTAGATGGAGGCTACCTATTTCCAGAAATGAGGCTGGCACTGTCCATCAGGACCCACCTGGCAGAGCCCTCAATGTTGATCCAGGATGAGAGGCACCTGGGCGCTGTCCATACAGGGAGGCAGCCGCTCACCCGTGCGTACATTGAACATGGGTAGAGTGGAGAGAGGCCGGGGCACCTCGCGGCTGGCTGCCATCTGCCGCAGCTCCTCTGTGTTTCCATGAATGGTGCAGTGGTGAGCCATCTGGATGCTGGAGGCACAAGGCGAGGGGTCAGCAGCTCCCAGAACCATCACCCAGGGTCTGGCCTCTGAGCCACCCTACAGTCTGCTCCACCAGCTTTGTGTGTGTGCCCGTGTGCGTGCGAGTGTGTGTGTGTTGGGGATACTCAAACATACCATAAGGGAGCAGAGAACAAACAGAAACTCTCATGGTGCCTGCTTATTCTCAGTGACTGAGACAGGCTTGGGGTTCAGACAGCCTGGATTCAAACCTGTATGTTCTGAGCAAGTTGCTTAACTACTTTGGACCTCGTTTTCCCCAACTGTGGGGATAATCATGACTACCATCCTAGATGGGTGTGAAGATTAAGTGAAAAAAAATGTGGCTTGCAGTTTAGAACAGCAGTCAGCCAGGTTAAGAGCTCCTGAAATACTAAGACGTGTGCAGAGACCAGCATTTACTGGGCTTTAGACTCTGTTTTCTTTCTTTTGCAGTGCTGGAGTTTGAACTCAGGGCCTCACATTTGCTAGGCAGGTGCTGTACCACTTGAACCACTCCACAGCCTAGATTCTGTTTCTCTATTCTGATGCTCCTCTTGGTCCATTCTAGCACTCAGCTCTGTCCCTCAATATCGACTCGAAGACCTGATTTTGCCTTTCCTCCCTGTCCATATATCAGTATGGTGAACCTACTTTCTCCTTGACCTTCTCTCATCTCCTAGCTTTTTCCCAAACTGTCTCCCCTTCCAGCAACACCCTCCCCATGCCCTGCCAAGCTCTGGACACCTCATCATTTGGCTCCTTGGCCTGCCCTCTGCTGCCTTTGAATTCTGACTCTCCTCATATAGACTCTTGTCTCCTGTCTCTGTTTCAGACCAGAACTCCTGGAGACCAGCACGGAGCTCCACCCTCAAGCAGCCTTGAAATCCCAGTGTCCTGAGTGGCTACACCCTTCAGAAAGTCTTTCCTAAACTCTAGCTCTAGGTCCTCTTCAGGAGGCTCAGTCTATTCTCATGTGACATTCTCATGGACTTGCTCCAGGGTTGTCCAGGGGAAAACTTGAGTTCCTTCAGAGCAACAAGATAGCATAGTAATTAAGCATGAGGACTTGCTTTGGGTTTGAATCTGGACTCTCTTGCTTACTGCTCTGTGACCTTGAGAAAATTACTTAATCTCTCTGTGCTTCAGTTTCCTCACCTGTAATTCAGTTATGTGAATTAAATGGTTAATCTAGAAAAAGCACTTAAACCATCTCCTGGCCAAGCTTGCAGCCAGCAGTAGTTATTATTATAGAATGCTACAACATCATCAATGTCGTTTTACTACAGCAAGCCCACCAATGAACTTGGCCTCTAGGAAAGGTGTTTTCAAGCCCCATTTGCACAAACCCACCAATATTTATGGGCCATGCTAGTGACATTTTCCCAGACTACCTGGTTGCCAGGTCAGACAGAGCAGGAACTTTTTCTTATAAACAATAGGAATTAGTTTTCTTAAGGAGGCTAGGGTCCTGGGCAGGCTGAAGCCACCCTACTTGCCACTGGGCAGGCTGAAGCCATCCTACTTGCCACTCCATTCCAATCAAATGGGGGAGGTGGCCCCCACCTGTGTCCGGGCCCAGTTAAAGCCCGAGAGGTTAGACTACAGAAAGACATCCAGCTTTGTGAAGAATGGGCCACACTCCTCTGGGGGAGTGGGACCGAGCACTGTCTAGCCAGGGGAAGAAGCAGTCATTGTCTAAGGCCAGGGGAGGGTCAAGATGAGCTCTTGAGTCTGGAATTTAGCAAACTGGGTTGTTCAAAACACAATTTTCCATTCCCCAGCAAGACTCAGTCTTCCGGGGAGTCTGAGGGGAAGGAGCAAGAAAGCTATGGATGCTGAGTGGAGTCAGCCGGGCAGGTGATACCCCCTCAGGAGGAAGACCCTGGGCCCACATCCGGGTCTTATTACTCTGGCAACATACAGGTGGAAAAAGTGTTCTGAGGATGTTTTTCCAGAAGAATAGATGCCAAACTCCAAGGTGCCTTTCTCACAGGCTTTCCACACCAGCACTTGGGCAAATGGAAGAGCAGAGAGGCATTCCTACACACGAGTACACTCACGCACATAGGCATGCATGCATGGCCCAAGGTCTCACCCACATCCACTCCACCATGACACACAGGATAGTGTCACTGAGGCCTGGAGGAACTCGAGACCAGTAAAATCATACAGGTGAAAAGCAGGCAGCAGAATCACAACTTGTGGCTAATTTGAAAAATGACTGACGTTGAAGGCTGGAGATGTAGCTCAGGGGTAGAGCACTTATCTAGCATGCTTGAGGCCCTGGGTTCTATCCCTAGCACAGCAAATAATAATGGAAATAATAATAACGACATTAATAATAATAATAAACATGGCATTGACCAAAGCAGAACCATTGAATTTTATAGGAAACCCAAACCAACGAAGGTGCATGGCAAAATTGGTTACTGACTCCAAATTGATGGGAGAAGCAGATTTTCCTGAAATTATTGGGGCTACAGAATTGACCCAGGAAAGATGGAAGTGGAGAAAATACTGGTCACAGACAAAATTCCCAATGGCAATGGATGCAACTGATCAAATTTGATCCAGTCCCCCCATGCCATTAATAAAATTCTCCTTGTGAAATTTATGTGGAAATTCTCCTTGTGAAATTTATGTGGAAAGTCATTGATCTTTATGAGAGGAGTCTATAAAATGAAATAAGAAATAAAAGTGAAGTCTTGTCATGCCTTTGTGGTTTGGGTTTTTTGTTTGTTTTTCTGGTGCTAGAGATGGAACCCAGTGCCTTACTTGTGCTAGGTGAGCACTCTACCACTAAGCTACATCCACAGCCCCTGTAACTGCTTTGTATAGAAAGTTAATTGACTTACATAGATCGAGGGATTTCAATTTTGTGTACTCTGGAAAGTATATTCCCCATAAAAATTATGTTAGTATAATTCTGATATTTAAAACATATACTTTAACCCAGAGGCCCAAAGGTTTAAAATTGAAGGCTAATTGCCCTGAAATTGGCTCAGGCACACGTGTTCACATGTGTGCACGTCCCATGTGGGTCCACCTTTCTAGCCCACACAGCCACAGCCTTCCTTTGCAGGGCACCTGGCACTCTGATGCCCGGTTTGGTAACTCCTGACTTCCCCTCCCAGGAGAGGAAACAATAAGGCCACTGTGACCCCCACAGGATTCTGGTGGCCTCACAATGGCCCCCTGAGGTCACTGCAGGATAACCTCACCACCCCCTGAATCCACAGCACAAGTCTGCTGAGGCCAACCATAGGGTGATCATCCTTGGTCCTCCCTCTGGCCACTCAGGGGAGGCGTGGGTCAGACCCCTACAAGGAAGCCTCTGAAGGAAACAGAAGCCAGGACGAAGCTCGCCCAACACCAAGAGTGACCAGTGGAGACTTCCAGCTGCCACCCTGGAGGTCCTGGCACCCAACTCCCTTCAGCTACCCCTGGGAGAGATGCAGAAAGACACTTCACCGGTGCCCCCGTCTATGCCCTTGGCCTCAAACACTGCCATGGGTGGAAGTTGGGAGGCCAGCGCATCAGGGGTCTCCAACAAGAGCGAGACTGGGCCTCGCACCTGCCCCAAAGCCTGTCCGAAGCCCAGCATGTCGAAGGTGATCCTGAGAACTGTGGCAGACAAGGGGGTGCACAGCCGTGTGTCCCTGGCTGTCATAAAGAAGGCCCTGACCACCACAGGTTATAACATGGCCCGTAACACCCGGCGTTTCAAGCGTGTGCTCCAAAAGCTGGTGGAGAAGGGCTTGCTCAAGCAGGTGACTGGCAAGAGGGCCACGGGCTCCTTCCGCCTGGGCAAGAAGCAGCCCTCCAAGTCCAGACTCAAGGCCAAGAGACGGCAGCAGCAGCGACGGCGGCAGCAGCGACGGCAGCGTGGGCAGTGCCAGTCTGGACAGTGCCAGTCTAGACAGCGCAGGTCACTACTGGGCTCCAGACAGAGCCGCAAGTGACTTTTCAAGAGAGTCCACAGGGTGGTCAAACGCCGCCGCCATTAATAAGGCAGGCCAGGCGAAGAGGCAGGGGTGACAAGCCTGCCACCGGCTCAGTGTGGTGAGAATAAAAGGAGCCCAACTTATTGTACATCTGCCTAGTAGAATCTTTGGGGTTCAGGGTGTGGGAGAGAAAGAGAGTTATGAAGGAGCAAGGAGAGAGGAGAGGTCATGGGTAGGGGGAAGCTAGGACAAATGAGAGTGAGATGGATTTGGGAAGGGATGGTAGAATTGAGCAGTTGGAGCTTCCCTGGCTCCCAGAGCCTGCCCAGAGCCAGGGCTCAGAGAACAAAGTGGTCCCCATCAACCTAGAGGACTCTGGCTTGTATCTCTGCTCATAGAGGTGGGAGGGTCCAATGTGACAGCCTAGGAAGTTCCCACCCAGCCCCCAGGTCTTCCTTACTCACTCAGAGGTGGCCAGGTCTCTCTTCAACCTGTGGAAAAGTGGGGGAGAAGGTTGGTTCCCCTCTGTTTTTGCCCCATTGCCTCCCCACGGTTCAGATGAGTGGGGAATTTGTGTTTTCTTATTCAGCATCCCCCTGGTGCTGGGCCAGGTAGGACTCAAGACTCTAGGTTCCTAGAAAAGCCCCCCTACTCCTCTTCCTCTTGAGAACCTCACTCCTGAGAGGTCTGGGTTCCCACACAACACAAGTGCCACCCACTGGGGGTCCCCTCGTTGCCCTCCCTGCCCTCCATCCCCCACCCTCACCTTCCTTCCCTCCTGCAGCACATGATGTAGGCCAGCAGGAGGGTGAGCAGCAGAGCCACCAGAAGGGGCACCAGGAGGGTGACCAGGGCATCTGTCAGGAAGTCTCTGGTTGTAGCCTCAGTGGGTGGGCAGAAGAATGGGTCATGCTCCAGGATTCCATCACCTGGGGTGAACACCTCATCCAGGGGTTCTGGCACTGACTTATCCACCTGCACAGAGAGCCCATGGCTGACCCGGAAGAGGCTGGCTAGACACAGAGACCCCCAGGGAACATGGCAGAGGTTCAGGGAACACCCTACCTATTGCCCCATGCAACCACTGGGTCTCCTCCTTCCCTAGTTCATGTGACCTCCCAGGACAAAGACTGAATGAGGAGCCAGGAGAGGCTAATTCTAGGAGAAGCAGGACAGTACTATAATTAGTGCCAACTCTAGGGTCTGACTCCTGAGTCAGCTTAATGCTTTGCTGGGGTGACTTGCCTCTGCATGCCTCAGTTTCCTCAGCTGTAAAGTCAGAGTGACCATAGTATACCTGCCTCCCGCAATGATTGTGAGGATAAAACCTATTGAGGGTACTGTGCCCAGCACGTGGCAAATATTCAGGATATTATCAATGGCCAGGCCCTGACTGTGCAACCCTGCACTGTTGGTCAATTCCCAGGAGTAAAGCACACCTGAAATTCCCAGCCTGGGAGTCAGGCTCTCTGGGGACACTCAAAATACATAAGAGCTGTAGGGGGCCTCTTGGATTCTTAGCTTGGAAAACTACTAATCCTTATTGCAGGTGGGTTTGCTAAAGCAGACTGAGCTATTACACCCTGACCCTTTGTGGGGAAAGGGTTTGAGAACTGCACTGTAGAGTGTGATTGGTTGGTGTAGCTGTTGGGCTGAACAGATTGAGACACCAGGTCTATCTGATAATAGAGTGTGGATTGTAGACTCTGTCGCCCTCTTGTGGGAAAAGGAGAGAGAGAGAGAGAGAGAGAGAGAGAGAGAGAGAGAGAGAGAGAGAGAGACAGAGAGAGACAGAGACAGAGACAGAAATGACAGTCTAAGACTGGAGTGGAGTGGGAAGCAGTGGGGAAGGGAGGGAGGGGAGTTGATGAGAACCATGCCCCCACCCCCAGCCCTGGATTTAGGGCTGCTCCTCACCAGGGACACATTGCACCAGTCAACACGAAAGTGGGGTGCCAAGGTGTCATAGCAAGACAGAAGTGGAGGCTGGCCATGGGCACAGCGGGCATGGCTGTCAGGAGATGCCACCATCTTCAGGCAGGTAGAGAAGGGGAAGGCAGAACCCACCTTGATATATACCCTGGGTACAGATAGAAGCCACTATAAGCAGAGTGTGGGAGGGGCACTGGACACCACTCTGCCTGGGAGTGATGAAGCTATCCTGACGGTAAGGCAGGACACTCAGGGTGTGGTATGGGGAGATGGCTTGGAGTGGGGGTTAGGGGAGACAGGTGATAAACTGGGGCCTGGCAGGAGAGGTCACAGCCTCCTTCCCCTAGTTCTGGGGCCCCCAGATCACCCCAGTCTTTATGCTCTCAAGACTGTCCTTTGACATGTGGATGGATCTCCCATGTTCTCATGGATACCAGGAAGTACAGAGTCCAGAGTAACTAGGATTGGGCTCAAGAAGGACAAGGAGATGAGAGGATGGCTGGAGGGGGGTGGACAGTGGTGTGAAGCCGAGAGGAGGTGGACATAGTAAGTGTGTGCAGTGGCGGAAAAGCCCCACCAACAAGTTAGGGAGACTTCTGTTTGATGGCCACCTCCAGGGTTGCACACCTACCCTTCCTTACGACCTTCGATGGGAAGAGGGACACGACCCCCACGGTCCAGTGCTGAAGTGATGTTAAGCAGTTGGAGTTCCCCCGGCTCCCAGAGTCCCCCCAGGGCCGTTAGGAAGCGGTTGGCAGGTGTGGAGGGCAACACCTCCTCCACATCATGGCTGCGTACCAAGAACTCCACATGGTATGGCAGCTGGGGGCCTGGGGAAACCAGGTGGGCACTCAGCGGATCCCCCACCCCTTGCTCTGGCCCCCAGATCTTATCCAAGCCTCCCCAAAGCTCCTCACCTCATCCCCCACACTCCTTCTGTCCCCAGTACCCGATAAATTACAGGTCCCAAATGCCCTTCCCCATCATCCACAGCCCAGTGATCTGCCCAGGCCCCAAGGTCTGCAGGGCAGATAGTAACAGAGCCTGACACTAGAACTACAGTCCAGAGCACATTCCCTAAAAACTGTCAATGTCACATCTTCCCTGAATCTCTGCTCTTCAGGATCCCCTGCTCCTTGCTGCTTCCCAAGCCTCTCCCTTCCAGGAGAGGTCCCCCAAGACTAGCACTGGTGGGGAAGGGTGGGGCAGGAATGGAGGTACCTTCTGGGTCCTCAATCAGCAGCACCAGCCTCTGCCTAGTGGTATCAAAGGTGTTCCGATTGTAAGCTGTGATCTGAGGAGATGGGAAGAGGGTGGAGGGGTGGGGTTAAAAGGAAGCATGGTACAGTTGGCCCTGGCAGAGAGCACCTATACAAATTAGATCTATATAAATTATATGTAAGCGGACATGCATGAACACCCAATCCTGCTGGCAGGGCTGCTCCTAGGAGGCCATAGTGACCCACCCCTTGGAGGGGGCTCTAAGGGTCCCCGCTGGCACCTCAATGACTTGGCGCCCCCGATCTTCTGGGGTGGCGGTGCCATACAGGAAGCCAGGGTTGTAGGGGCTGCGCTGAGTATAGCGGAGCCACCGGGGCAGGTCAGGATGTCCCTGGAGGTGGGCATGGTAGGTGATGTGAACGGTGGGTGGGACAGCTGGTAGAAGAGAAGAAGGAATTAGAGGCTTACAGGAGCCTTGAGCCGGGCACACTCCAGCCTGCTCAGTGACCCATCAGGCCCCTCTCACCAACACGCTCTGGAAGGCTCAGGAAGGTGGCGTGATCCAAGGTGTGCACAAAGAAACGGCCCACAAGCGGGTATAGGGTGGTCTGCTGGAATTCGGTGCCTCCCAACCCTGCCAGGAGACCTGTAGGGACCCCCACAAGCCCCAAAGACACAGATAGCCTCAGTCCTGGCAGGGATGAGCTCCTTTCCTCACCAAGTCCCCTGTGCTCCTGTAAAGGCTTAAGAGAAGGGGGCTCCTTCACTGGCTCTGGGGAACCCCCCACCTGCCTTCCTTAATATACAGGGAGGATCAGAGCCTGCACTAAAGGTCAATAGGAGCCCAACAAAGCAGACCTGCCCAAGCTGCCCTCCCCCTAACTCTTAAGGCCAAATTTAGCCTGGGCCTGACAGAAGCAGTGTCCCAGACAGCCCATTAAAGGACGCACAGCCCTAGGACATCTCCACCCTTAGAATTCCCAGCCCCCACACTCCGGAGCCCAGTTCCCAGCTATTAGATCCTTGACTGCCTGGACATTAGCACCCTGAAGCCCTTTGAGCCCCTCCCTCACCACCCCACACCCCTCCCCTGAAGATGCCCCTTTCTTCCACCTCTTCACCCCATCCCACCTCTCACTCTGGGCCTCCTGGTGAAGAAGGCCCCAACTTACCCACCAGGAGAGGAATACATATTACAGCGGCTACCATGGCTGCCCAGCCTGGCCTATGCCTGTGAGTGACAGAGACAGGGGCAGGGAGGAGAGAGGGAGGAGTGACTGGGAGGTGTCCCAGAGCAGCTGGGGCACAGCCTTGGCCAGCTGGGCCCTCCCCTTTCCCCGCCCAGATGAGGCAGTGAATCTGGAGGGAACCCTACTCCCATACAGTGTCCCTCCAATCATCCCTTCCCGGTGGCCACATCACAGTGTGTGTGTGTGTGTGTGCCTCTAATCACTTGGGATTATAGGCATGCACCACCAGGCCCAGCTCCATAGTACGTTTTCTAAACTATCAACCTGACTACCTGGGCCCTCCCTTAAAACTTTGATGGCTTCCACTGATGAGTTCTCAGTTCATCCCCAGTTGATGGTTTTCTGACCATTCCTATCCCCAGCCTTCCTGTCTAGAATGCCCTCAGACACACACACACACACACACACACACACACACACACACACACACACCATGCCGGGCTCCTCCGGCCTCCTCTGCTCCTCTGTAGCTTAATATGTTCTCTTAGGTCTCCTAGCTTTTGTCCAAGCCAATCCTTCCCTGGAGTTCTCTTCCTGCTTTTGTCTTTCCCACCTCCTTTCTCCTTCTAGGCCAGTTGGGTGTTCCTTAGCCCTGCCCACATCCCTATGCCAACCCAGCCTCACAGATGGGGTGGTACACATGCTCTGGGTTCCTCAGAGAATCTTCCTATCCCTGCACCTGCACAGAGGGCACAGCATCGAGTAGATACAGGGAACTGTGTGATAGCTTCCTTAACAATGAACAGAGTGCCTGTTTCCCAAGCCTGAGCCCCAGGCTAAGCATCCCCCATGGGTAGATCCGGAAGGAGAGAGCCCTGGATGGGATCAGCCAGGAGGAGACAAGTGAGCAGCGGAGCTGCCTTCTCTGGTTCACACAGCTGGGAATAACTGCACAGGACGGGAGGCCTGCCAGCCTGGACAAGAGTCCCACCTTGACGCTTCCTGGAGATGTGGCCTTGAGTGACTCATGTGCCCTTTCTATGCCTCTGTTTCCACAATTACGAGTTGCATGAATAGTGCTCACCTCTTGGGGCCATTGTGAAGAGTCCACAGAATAATTATTGCAGCACATGCATACAGAGCACCTACCTCGTGCCAGGCTGAAGATGCAGGATGCATGCGGCTTGCATGTTAGTGGGTAGGGGCAGCTGACCTGCCTGTCTCTGTGCCGAAGAGCTGACGTATACTTATGTATATCAACCCATTCCATACACATAGCAGTTCCATGAGGCAGATATGACTGTCGTCCCCATTTCCCAGATGATAACCCTGAGCACGGGTTTATGACTTCTCCAAACCATGCTGCTGATGAGTTCATTGCATCTAAAAGTGTGTAGCCCACACGTCGCTCAATAACAGCCATTGATGAACTTGCTTGTGAGCACCACAGCCCTTCCCCCCACACACACCTGTCGAAGGCCGTGGGTCCAGGTATGAAGGGGGTAGATGCCCTTCTCTCTCAGAGCCTCCCACTCAGAGGGGCTTTCTCCCCAGGTACCCTGAGGAAGAGGTGGGGCTCCAGGGCCATCAGCATTTTACAGTCTCTGCTATCTTTGTGAACAACCATGGGTCTTATGCTGAGGGTGCAGCCCACCTCACCCCACAACTAAACACCTGGGCAAAAGCATGTGGGATCAGGGATCAGGATCATGGGTCAGGCTGAGAGTGTGGGCCTGCAGATGGGATAACTGGCAGGCAGCTTACTTAGTTCTTGTTCCTTCCTCTCTCTCTCCCCACCTGACCACCCCACATCTCCTTGAAGAGCCACCAAATTCCAGAGTCAGCATCTATGGGGCCTCTCAGGCAGGTGCTTGTCCCTAATTCACCTTCTCAGAAATGGAGAAGAAAAGAAGAGAGGTTTTGGAGGTAGAAGGAGAACTGAAGGCCCTGGAAGTGGTGGAGGCGCAGAGCAAGCAGCTGCCCAGGCCCAGCCCCTGAGGTTCTCCATGTGACTCCCTGCATCCCCTGCTGCCTCCTCTGCTATTTTTGGAGCCACCTACTCACATCCTCAGCCATCTGAAGGCCACAGTGCCTGTGCCCAGTGTCATGAGGCCCATAATGTCACCAGGCCCACCTCAATGGAAAAGACACAGCTACTTCCCCTCTGATCCTCTCCCAAAAACCATCCCCATTCAGGAGAGCCAGGGACTGTCCCAGGAGCCAGCTGGAGTCCCTGAAAGTATCCTCAGGCTCTTGGTCACCAAAGGATGGTCCCTGCCTGAGAGCTGTGTGTGTTACAACCTGTGCTGTAACACACAGCACTTCTGTCTCTTGGGACCTAGGGCTTTGGGAGGAGGGGTTCACAGGACCCTTAAACTTCCTATTCTTGAAACTGTTGAAATATATACAGAATAATATAATGAGGCCCTATGTATCTATCACTCAGCTTCAACAACGATCAACTCCTGGTCACACTAGTGTGATCTAGGCTCTCCCAATCTCCCTCCCTCATTTAATTTCATCTGTCAGTGTCTCAGTGACTTGCCTCACTGAGTCAATTGTCCCTTCCTCTCTCTCCCAACTCCACATCTCACTGGAGAGCCACCAAATTCCAGAGTCAGCATCCTCAGGGGCTCTCAGGCAGCTGTTTGTCCCCTAATCACCTTGGCATCTCTCAGCCGTCTCAGAGATAAAGGAGAGAAGAAGGGACTCTTGAATCAATGACTTGATGACTCTTTTTTAATATAATCACAAAGCACAATCAATTATTAACATCATCACTAATTCTTCAGTATCAAACTTCCTGTATTCAAATGTCCAATTTCTGCCAGGCGGGTGGCTGGTGACTCATGCATGTAATCCTAGCTACTTGGGAGGCTGAAATCAGAAGGACAGAGGTTTGAGCCATTGGAGGCCAGCCTGGGCACATAGTTCTAGAGTGAGTCCTCTGTCTCTGAAATAATCAAGCAAAATGGACTGGAGGTGTGGTAGAGCCCCTACTTTGCAAGTAGGAAGCCCTGAGTTCAAACCCCAGTCCTGTCCCACCCCCCAGAAACAAAGAAAAAGAAACCTTCTGGGTTCTTTTTTTGGGGGGATGGTACTGGGGTTTGAACTCAGAGCTTCATACTTGCAAGGCAGGTCCTCCAAGTTTTGAACCATGTCCCCAGCCCGAATTTCAATTTCCTTTTTCCTTCCTTCCATCTTCCTTCCTTCCACCCTCTTTTCTTTCTTTTCTTAAGAAATAGAAGTCTAGTTCTGTGGTTCAAGTGGTGGAGCACCTGCCTAGCAAGTACAAGGCCCTGAGTTCAAACCCCAGAACTACCAAAATAAAAAATAAAATAAAATTTTTCTTTCTCTACAAATACAACAGAGATGGTCACACGAGTATAGTTGAAAGAAAAGAAATATTTAAAATAAAATTAAAAAAATGGAACCAGGCACTGTTGTCCTGCCTATAATCCTAGCTACTTGAGAGACTGAGATCTGGAAGATCAAAGTTCAAGGCCAGCCTGAGCAAGTAATTCGTGAACGCCCATCTCCAAAAAGAACCAGAGCAAAATGGACTGGAGGCATGGTAGAGCACTTGAGTTCAAACCCTAGTCCCATCAAAAAAGAAAAAAATTAATAAAATGGAGTCTCACTATGTTGTCCTCCAATTCTTGAGCTCAAGTTATCCTCCTATCTCAGCCTCTAGAGTACTTCCTTCTCTTCCTCCCTCCCTCCCATCCTTCTTTTCTCTAGTTCTCTTCTTCCTTGAAGGACTCAGATCAGTTGGGCAGTTTTCCACAGTCTATATTTGCTGGCTGCATTTCACTGGTGTTCTTTAACATGTTCCTCTGACACAGGCACTTTCTTTCTGTACATTGTAATATTCTGTAGATTGTTGTAAGAGCTAAAGTCCGGGTCAGGTTTAGGTTCAATTTTCTCTAGCAAGACCACTTTTACGTGGTAGTGGTGTTCTTCCATCCAGAGGCATATTACATGCCATCAGCTTTGATAGTTTTTGTTTTGAAAAATGGTGACATTTTAATTCCATCACTTCTTTCTTTATTAGCTGAAATACTTCCAGATAGAGAACCTGCTCTTCACTATGCCACGTGGCACAGTTCATATAGGAAAGGAAAATTAAATGTTAGATTCTTTTCCTGTATTTACCAGTTTCAAACTAATGGGTTGAGAGCTGGAGGGGTGGCTCAAGTGATAGATTTCATGTGGTCCTGAGTTCAAACTCCAGACCTACTAAAAAAGAAAAAGGAAAAGAGGGTGAGAGGAGGGGTTAAGAAAGAATAAAATATAGACAAGGTGAATCTGATCAAAATACATTATATGCCTATATGTAAATAACACAATGAAGCCCCTTTGTACAATTAATTCATGCTAATAAAAACTTTTAAAAAAATAAATTAAACAAGTAAAGGACTGGTTCCTTAGCATCCAGTGACCAATTCAATTAACACCTTTTTTTCCAATATTATGAATTTATGGTTTAAACATACTTGATTGCTTCAATCCATTGCAGCTAGCATCCCTCCTGGTGTTCACATCCCATCGTTAGCTCCTGATTTAGTCCTCATCAGTTGGAGCCAGGAGACTGTAGAATCAGATCTCTGCATCTCAGCGTTGTCCTTGCAAGCTCAGCCGGAGCTTCCAACGCTTCTGCTTCACTCCTGCGACCCTCTACTGCCTTTGGGTAGCTAGATCTCTGTCTTCGCTTCTCTGCCATCCGCAGCCATCTCCCCAGCTTCCTACCTCTTCCCATACCGGTGAACGTTTGCTGAATGAATGCATGCATGCATTCATGCATCAATTATCTCCCCAACTCAGTCTCATTCCACTCCAGTCTCCATGAATCTGTCTCCCTAAGTCTCTTGATCTGAGGGCCATATTTCCTTTATCTGCTCCTAAAACAGGGGATTATACTTTGTCATGAGGGACAAAGGAAAGACATCTTCGTCTTTGTGATCTGATTCATCTGCCCCCAGACTCCACCCCCATCTTTCTCCCCCACGCCCTTCGCCGCGCACAGCCCAACAAAAGAGTGCGACTCGGACGATCAACCACCAGAGGGC